TCAATAGGCTCTGACTGGTCCCACTGCCTAACTCATGAACATTGAGCGTTCTAGCATTCGTTTCGAACGTTCTGTGTCCTATGTCTTCGGCTTCCAGCCTCTTTTCACGCACAGCTGTGGAGCTCGGAAATGCTCTGGTTAAAGTGTGACTTTACTGACCGGTAGGTTCATGGTTCGAACTCAACCCCGGCATCTCGACTGCTCCTTTCTGGTCTTGGACAACCTGCCACTATATCAGCCACCCTACTTACTTCAGATGGCATGGCAACTAGACACCGGGAACGTTGAACGATTATTATTAGTTGTCCGGTCGAACTCTCCATACTCCTACTAACCATACTTGACCGCCTGGTACCAAAAACCGTCTGCGGATAAATTGGCAAAAATACAACAGATGCGCATGATTTTGGTTGCCTAGGTAGTATGATCAGGTTGGTTTAACGGATTTTCTACATTATTGGGTGTAATATGGCCCTTGGGTGTAAAGGTGCGCGCGGTTCTGCGTTATCATTGTCCTTGAACGGTAGGTAAACCAAACTTGGCGGCTGACTNCAGAGGGGATGAGTGACCGGAGGGCGTATGATGGCCTGAAGTTGAACGACCGATGCCACTTCGAACTGCCCTGAGCGAGTCTGCGCGATTGTGACAGGCTTTTATTCAATAACCCAACCACATATGAAGTCGAACGTTTGTTGAAGTGTGCCACACGCACACAGCAGGTGTTTGATGGACACGGTAAGTTAAAGGTTGAGTGAGTGCATTTCAGGAGAGTTGGACTTCCCAATGTTATGGTGATATCGGGTGCGATCGATAATGGTAGGCACCTAGCATGTTGTTATGTTCCCCGAAATCAAGCTCGGCACATCCCTAATTTGGTCTGAAAGATCAGAAATTAGTCAGAGTTTAATCGAAACGTCCAACCCACTTCTGTGTGCACAACAAAGAGGGAATGATATATGCGATGTTTTGTGAAATGGCAAGAGGTCTCTGGAGCAGCCAAACAACCGATATCGGTTACACACAAACTACCTCCGAGTCGGCTAAAAAATGAAAATAAGACAGTGTGGCCGATAAATTATCCGGATCAACATATCGACCTGTTGATCCACACAAAAACCCAACCTGATTTTAACCAACAGGTGATAGAGTTATTCACAATTTTAGGTTGATTGATAGGCCAAGATGTCCTGATTATTTGATGCACTTGAAAAGTTCAACCGAAAGCGGTAGGTGTAGAGCGGACAAAAAAATCCGTTGCGCTACTTCTAAATTATGGACGAAGGCACAACACCGCACTATACTTAATCAGCTGACCAGATCACTGAAGATGGTGTTAGGATATACAGCACATAGACGATGATTATAGCCTCGAGGCAGTGGAAACATCCGCAATACGAGTTGACGCATCCTGTTGTAGAACATGAACTCTTCTCAAATGCAAGTACAAGCTCTCTGGAGAGATCGCGTGAGTGAGAATGGATGACAGACCAGTTTTCGAAGTGAGTGGGGGCGAAATGGCCTAAGTGGTTAGAGCCCGAATTTACTGACCGGAAGGTCCGTGGTTCGAATCCGACCTCCGTCACTAGACTTCCCCTGTCTAGGCTTGGGCAACCTGGCAGTATCCCAGCCCTCGCGGTTCCT